CCCCCCCCCCCCCCCCCCCCCCCCCGCCCAGGGCAGTGCTGGCAGTCTGCATCTTCAGATTCTCCTTGGAGCAGCCTTGCCTAGGACCTGGAGCCTCGACCACCAAGCTCCAATTCCTTGGCAAGTGTGAGCGCATAGTGAGCAGGCTGCAGGCGGCTGGGGTCCCCTCGACTGAGTTAGATCAATTGGGTCTGTTAGTAGCCTCGCCTTGAGGGCCTCCTTTTTCGCATCACCCTCGGAAAGATATCTCGGCGTCCTGGATCCTTCTGTGGACAGCGACAAGTCCTTGATGATACTGGGGATCCCAGAGGACTGTAGCCACCAAGAATTTGAAGACATCCTACAGGGGCCCCCTCAAACCGCTGGGCAAGTTCAAAGTAGCTGGGAAGGCGTTTCTGGAGGAGGACAGATCCAAGGCAGCTCTCGTTAGGTTGGCAGAGGACCTCAATCATGAGGTCCCCAAGGAGATCAAGGGCAAGGGCGGTTTGTAGAGAGTGGTCCTCATGCCCAAATAGCAAGACATGGATTCCTCACCAAGCTCAGTTTGTTCCTGCGGAGAGAGGGCGGGAAGGTAGAGGACGTGGCCGCATCCTCAGGCAGGAGTTGTGTCTCTCGGAGAGCTCCCTCCCTCCCGGAACTGCTGCCTGTCTGCAGGCAGGGAGATTTCGGACAAGGCCGAGGGGCCACCGCCAAGGGCGATAAGGTGCCCCTTGTGGAAGACCCAGAGAAGGAGAGCCAAGGCTGAAGAAGGCAAGAAGGTCAGGAAGAAAAGCAAGAAAAACGGACGCCGACAGCAGGCTTCTTTGAATGAAGCTGGATGAGTGTGTCTGGGGGAGGTGCACCGAGGGAGTGTGCCAGTCATCTGAGTGGGTGTGGGTGACTGTGGGACGGTACACAGCATTTTGGAGGCCCAGAGTGACCGTGGATGGGAAGACTATCACCCTAGTGTGACACGTGGTATTTGACCTTGTGAAGAAAGAAAGCTTCGTTTCTCTGGTCGATGCTGAAGGCTGAGCTGCGGCCTTGGGCATGCCCAGCTCAAGCTCTCTGTCGCTGAGCCACGCACCCAGCCCCTCACCAGGGACTGTGGGAAAGCTCTCTGTTAATGAGTCATATCCGCAGTCTGAGCTTGGTGGTTTAATCTAAGTTAACTAACTTTGGGGCTAGAGCTGAGTGGGTTGAGTAGGGGTCATCTTTTTTATTTTTGTTTTTGTTTTTCAAAAGACAGGGTTTCTCTGTGTAGCCCTGGCTGTTCTGGGAACTCACTGTGTAGGCCAGGCTGGCCTTGAACTCAGAGATCCACTGTCTCTGTCTCCTGAGTGCTGGAATTAAAGGCATGTGCCATCACTGCCCAGCTTTCTTGTTCTTTCTTTCTTTCTTTCTTTCTTTCTTTCTTTCTTTCTTTCTTTCTTTCTCTTTTCTTTCCTTTTTTTTTTGTTCACTCTACGTATGTCTATTTCACACCTACTCTATCCCAGAGCAGTACTTGGATCTTGGAATAAAAAGGGGTGAAATGTCAACAAAAATCCCTGTCTGTGACACTCCTGAGCAGTGGCAGTATTACTCGGATACATCTAAGTGAGTAAAGTTTTCTCAGAATGTACATATAGATAAAGTAGAGGCGTCATATGATCAAGTGTGGTCCCCTTCTTCATTCAACCAATCTGGGCATCTACAATGTTCCAGGTACCGGACACAGTTCATGATGCTTAGCCTTGCCCTCCTGGCTCTACTTCTGTATTTTGAGGAATTGTGGGTAACATTTGAGACTGCAAGGCACATGGAAGTGGAGGTGGGGGTATTGCTTGGGTGAAGGAGAGTAACTTCTGATTGAGAAGGGTCCCAGACACTGTAAAAGACTTCTAGCAACTTGGAGGCCAGCAGGACCAGCCAGACACAGGAAGCCTGTGGGCGTGACTGTTGCCATAGAGACGGCAGAGGGGACAGGTGCCTGCCTTCCATTGCCTGAAGAGAAAGTCCATGATGATAAGCTTTAGAAAGTGTTTTTGCTAGACTTGCTGACACCAGAGCTGACCCTGGAAGAACGTGTCATGAAGATCCTCAATGGGAATGGGTCACAGTTCTTCTCGTGCCACAGACAGAGGCTTGATGTTGAAGACAGTTCATAAACCATGATTGACACGTGGGCTGCCTGCTGACTCAACTGGGGACCCTGCTGTTTTGTATGTGTCCCTAAAAAGCTATACTGTTCAATGCATGGCAACTCTCCCTTACTGAGGGAGGGTCAGGGGTTGGGAACCTGCAACCCTGATTGGCACCTTAGGTAAGCATGTATTTCTCCCTAAAGTAAATGCCAGGAATCATGACTTGGAGTAGAAAGAAACACTCTTTTCTTTAAAAGAAGGGGGGAGGTGAGAAAGAGAGAGGGGGGAAGGGAGGAAGAGAGAGAGTGCCTTGATGGCTCATAGGATCACTTCACTTTGGAGGTGGAGGCAGGAGGAGATCAAGAGTTCATGGCCAGCTTGGTTGTATAGCAAGTGTGAGGCCAGTCTGGGCTACACGGGATTCTGTCTCAATAAATAATAATTGAGTTCTCAAGTCTATAACCTGAGTATCATGTGAGGGTGGAAAGAGGAAAACTGTTGGGAGCAAAGCACAGAGGTCCTTGAGCCCACAGATCTCCAGAGAAACCAGGAATTTACGTTAAGGGCACGGGATTGCCTTTCCAATGGGGAGGATGAAAACACTGTTCTTCTATCCAGAAAGCTGAGAATTGGAAGTTATTAACAGCCTGGTAATCTGCCTTACCTGTTGGACCAAGCCCCAAATTAAGCTCCAGGACAGGAGGTGACTAACAATCTAAATAACCTTTTTTAGCCACAGACTTCCCCAGGCTCCCACAACCAGGACTAGAGGTGGAAAATAGCCCAAATGACCTCCATGTTATCTGTAGGCCCATTTTTTAGAAGAAATGACATGTCTCCTGAGTTGAGTTTCAAAGTAAATATTCTTCCTTGTGCAATGGGGGTGGTATTACACGGGGAAACTTTTTTTTTTTTCTCCCAAATGATATTGGGCTTAAATACATAGGGAATAAACTGCCTGTTAATTAGACTCCTTAACGTCAGTCTGCACCGGGCTTTCACTCTTATCTCTTCGAGAAGTTCACTTTGCTGCGTGACAGCTGTAGGGAATCCCTTCAGGAAAACAATTGTGGTGAGATCCAGTTGTGCATAGGTGGAGAGAATGTCTTTTGGGGGACACTTGCAACCTTCCACTACTTCAAAGATCTGCGAGGGTTCCAGCTGAATTGCATTCCAAAAGTACTACTTGCATACACACAAAAATCTAATGTCTGAGATGGAGTCTTGCTGCCAGGCTACCCGCTATTTAGCTAATGATCCCCCTGCCCCAGTACTCCAGGGTAGTAATGGCAAGCCTGCACCACCACCCATGCCTAGGTGACTTTCCAACTATCCTACAACATGGAGGCCCCCCCCATATCTTTTCATTTATTGTGGGGACGCTGTAACCGTACTAGTGTCAATTTCACTCAATTCTCCGGCCTCAGCCTCCCAAGTGCTGGCAATATAGGTAGGAGTCCTTTCTTTATCTTTCACTCAGTGTTGTACTGGAACGGACACCAGATAGGTCGTGTTTTTAAACAAAAGTATGTTTTTAAACAAAAGTTTTGAAACAAAAGTATGTAGCCCTGACTGGTTGGGAACTCATTATACAGACCAGGCTGGCCTTAGACCAACAGAAATCCACCTGCAAATGCCTCTTGAGTGCTGGCATTAAAGGTGTGCACCGCCAAGCCTTTGATTTCTGACCCCCAGAATCAAAAGCCGGCTCTGTAGTCCCATCTGGGCAGCCGTGCCACCAGAAATCCCTGTCTCTGTTCTCATGTCCCCAGCAAGTGTCGGGATACCAAAGGGAGTTTTTTAATTCAGTTGATTGATGTAGCCTAAAGTCTCAAATGAAGACACTGGTTTCTAGCCAGTTCCTAAGCTGGCTCTTTTTGGTATTAGCCTCAACATCCTCTTCTTTAGTACAGTGCTTGGGGAGCAGAGCTTTTCTACTGTCTCCACAAACACTTTTGGACTTTTTATAAATCTGTGGTCAAGAAGCCTGTGGCTTGGTAGGCTGGTGAGATGATGAAGCCAGTAGAGGGGCTGGCTTTGGAACCTGACCACAAGGTGGATCCCCAGCTGCTTCCCATGAGCTCTATGGCATGAACACCCCAACACACACACACACACTCTCTAACTGGAAATATAATTTTAGAGAAAGAAGAGGGTCTTGGCTCTATATTGAACTTCTCAGTCCTGGCCCCGGGGGTTGCCACTCTGAGAACACTGAGTGTCTGGTCCTGCGTGGATACCGACATCTGCCTGATGCTATTTAACATTAGGGCACAATGGCTGCACGATAAAGGACAATGTGACATTCCTTGTTGACATTTTGTTTTCTGTATTTCTCATATAAACGCTATATTATTTGTGATGGGCAGCATGGGTCATTGAGTGCTGCCCAGGAACCCCAGGACCCAGGAAACCATTTCCTTTGGAAGATTGTTGGGACCAGAGGACATTTCCCGATGTTGTACTGCGGCTGTTGGGTGGCATGAACAATTTGAAATACTTAACCTGAGTCCATGCGGCAGATGTCAGGCAGACATCCCCAAGTACATCACAACAGCCCTCCCCGCACCCCCGTTTAAGAAGTGTGTCTACTCTTCTTTGTTTTTTGTGGCTGATACTCCACTGTATAAATATGAACTGATGAAATAAATGGTTGCCAATGAAACCAGTGTACCCTGTGTATGATGAGGTTGGGGAGCCACATAAGACTTCCTTTGGGAAAATGATCTGGTTGCTTTAAAAAAAAAAAAAAAAAGTGGGCCAGTAAGATGGTTTTGGCCAAGTGTGGTGACATCAGTTTGATCCCCAGCGCCCAAGTGGTAGAAGAAATGAACAGAATCTCCCAGGCTGTCCTCTGACCTCCACATACATGTGTGTGCACTTCTCTCTCTCCTTGGCTGAATTCCCTTTTAATTTCTTAAAAGAGTTGCTATCTGATGCCACTGGCTGAGAGAACACAGAGCACACAGCTTTCTTCTGCCTGGCTGGCTTCCCGGGACCCCAGGCTGTTTCCCAATGCTGAAGTGAAAGGTAGGACAATTTGTTAAGAGAGATCGGTGAGCTGGAAGGAGACAGCTGAAGGATGAGTTTAAAAGCCAGCCTTAGAGGGAGGGTAGGGTTGGGAGGGGAGGGGGGAGGGAGGTACAGGGGGGATACAAAGTGAATAAACTGTAATTAATAAAAATAAAAAAAAATAAAAAAGAGGAAAAAAAAAGCCAGCCTTAGCTACACAAAACCTGTCAAAAAAAAAAAAAAAAAAAAACACCTTAAAAACCAGGGCTGTTTATGTAGCTCTGTTGTAGAGTGCTGGCTGGCTCGAAAGAAGCCCTCATGGTCCTGAGTGATGCCAAAACTGGGCTTGGAGGTGCATAACTGCTATTCCCATACTTGAGAGGAAGAGGCTGGAGAATTGGAAAATTAAGGTCGTTCTCAGCTACATATGGAGTTCCCTCCATCTCAGAAGTGAAATGAGGGGCTGGAGGAATGGCTCAGCTGTTAAGAGCGCTGACTGATCTGCAGAGGACCCGAGTTCAATTCCCAGCACCAACTGCTAGGACTTAGTACATGCTAACTCTCGAGTTCAGGGACCCCTTCTCTCTTCTGCCCTCCCTGGGTACAGGCAGGAAAATGGCACATATACATACATGCAGGCAGAACATATACATACATAAAAGAAATCTTGATAAAAAATTAAAAGGATAAATGAAACAAAATACACACACACACACACACACACACACACACACACACACCCAAAAACATAAAAAAGGAAATAACAAAACAGTGACAGGTCCTGTGCTTCAGGCTTGGCATGGTGGCACACACTTTTAATCCCAACACTTGGGAAGGAGAGGCAGGAGGATCTCTCTGAGTTCAAGGCCAGCCTGGTCTACTTTCAGAGTTTCAGGCCAGCCAGGACTACAAAAATAAAACAAACAAACAAACAAACAAACAAACAAGCACAAAACACATCTCTTCAGATAGTCAAATTATCCTTTCCTGACCCTGAAGAAGAAAAAAAAGAAAAGCTCCCTTCCCCCACTTTGATTATTTGTTTGAAAACATTGTTGTGTTTTTTTTTTGTATTTGTATGGGACAACTGGACAATAGGAAACTGGTTCTCTTCTTTCATGGTGTGGTAAGTGGGAAGTGCCTGTACCTACTGAGCCACTTTGCCAGCACTTATTTTTATTATTATTGCCTGAGATAAGGTCATCATGTCCTGAATTCCCAGTCTACCTTCTCTGCCTTCCGAGAGCTGGAAAACCAGTGAGCTATGCCCTTGGTCCTCGCAAAGACTCTGACAACGTGGTTGTGATTATTACAAAACCAAATTAACAAGAAAGAGGCAAGATGTACTTTTTTGTTTTCTTAAAGTTACATGTCTAGCGATCCCTGTGACAAATCTTTGTGAACTTTGGAAACAAAGAACCCTCAGGTCCTTGTTTCAGCTTGTGAGTGCTGCAGATGGAGCCCAGGGTCTCGCTCATGCCAGGCACGAGCTCTGCCACTGTCTACACCCAGGGCTCTGAGCAGTCAGTGCAAGACACAACAGGCAGGGATTCAAAGCAGGGAACGGTGGAACGTGAATACGAGGAGGAGGGGTTGTTGGCTAAACTCCTTGGGAGCTCTCACCCAGTGAATCTCAGCTGTCTCCTGTGGCAGAGGATTTATGTCCTGTCTTGAGACAGACAGAGGGAAGGGACAGCGCTGCTGCTAACCTTCAGTTCAGTAATGAATGAAGGATGACTCACTTCCTCAGGTTCCTTCATCTGCTAACTACTGCACCTCAGGCCCATAATGCTCTGGCACACTTTGGTTCAGATATCAGCTTTCAATTTTATTATTATGATGATGATTGATGGGTGGAATCCAACCGAAGGCCTTGGCACCTATAGGCCAGCACTGAGACACACCCCCAGCCCCTCACTGAGGGATTCTAGGCAGGGGCTCTACCAATGAGCCACAAATAGTCATTTGTTTTAAACAGTATAAAGTTGTAGTTATATTATGGTTCCAGCTCAGGCTGGCTTATTTAAAATGAAGAAGAAGAAATGATCAGGGGCTGGCAATTTTATAAGAATACCAAACATCTGGGGTTTATACTTATATATGTATATATATGTATATATATAATTTGGCTGGGAATTATAATTTCAAATTGAATCCTTGAACTTCTGATCTTTCTGTCTCAGCCTTCAGAGAAGCCTGGATTACATGGATGAGCCAGTTTAAGAAGGTTTAAAATTAGATCTGTTTATTTTGTGTCTGTGAGTGTTTTGCCTGTGTGCATGCCTGTATGCCATGTGTGTGCCTGATTGCCCTTGGATGTCAGAAGTTAGCACTGGATCCCCTGAAACTGGAGTTACAGATGGCCCTGAGCCACCACGTTGGTACTGGAAACTGAACTTGGTTCTCAGCAAAGAGCAGGAAGTGCTTGAACGCCCAGCAGTATCTCCAGCCCCAGCCAGTGCTTGCTAGGCAAATGCTCCCCACAGAGCTAAATCCCCAACCTCAAGATTTAGAATTTATAGGCAGGCTGTGATGGCACACGCCTTTAATCTCAGCACTCGGGAGGCAGAGGCAGGTGCATCTCTGAGTTCAAGGACAGCCTGGCCTACAGAACTCTAGGTCAGTCACGGAAACCCTGTCTCGAAAAAGAAAAACAAGAACAAAAATATGTAGTGCTTATTATATGATACCATCATTAAAGCTGGTGTCCCTTGGCAGTCTTGGCTTTTTCTCTTCAAAGCACCTCTACTTTGGGGAAAGAGGCCTGAGGAAGGCAAGAGGAGTCAGAGGGGCTGCCTCTGGACCGCCCTGGGTTCCCAGCATCCTCTCTAAACTCAGCCAGGGCCCCTTTTGTTACCTTGGAGACAGCTGTCTACTATTCAAGGCCTAGGGCTGAACAGCCAGAAAGCAGCACCCTTTCTGCTGAAGAAAAGCAGCACCCTTTCTGCTGAAGAGGAAGATGCACCCACTTCCCCAGGGGAAGCTGCAGCCAGGCCAGGGCTCTGTACAAAGCGCCCCTACCTCACGCCCCAACCTGTAGCAGCCCCTCCTGCCGACATCTTTCTCTCTCTGCCTTCCCCTTCCCTCATTGCTAATGATTTGCTTCCAAGGTCTTCCTGTGTTAAATACAATCACAAGCTGTAATTTTTTAAAAGGGGTGTGGGGGGGGCATGTGTCTGCATCTGTACTCCATATGCATGTCTGGTTCTTGTGGAGATAAGAAGGTGTCTGATCCCCTACAACTGGAGTTTTGGGTGACTGTGAGCCACCATATGGGTGCTGGGAACAGAAACCAGGTCCTCTGCAAGAACAGCCAGTGCTCTTAATCACTGAATCATCTCTCCAGCCCCTGGGTTGTTTGCTTTATGAGACAGGGTCTCTTGTAGTCAGGCTGGCTGTGAACTCACTTTGTAGATGAGAGCAACCCTACCCTCCTGATCCTTCTGCCTCAAACTACTGGGCTCACAACTGTGCACCCTATGTCTGAAACACACACACACACACACGTTTTTGAGACAAGGTTTCTTTGTGTAATGGCTGTCTTGCACTCACTCTGTAGACCAGGCTGGCCTCAAACTCTTAAGAGATCCACCTGCCTCTGCCTCCCAAGTGCTGGGATTAAAGATGTGTGCCGCCATGGCTGGCCCTGTTATATGTTTTTATATTGGCATCAAAGTCACTTCTTTACCTGGATTGTGTTGTAGAAAAATTATCTTTAATCCTGGTATGGTAGCCGATGTCTGTAAGCCCAAAAGAAAGAGGCTAAAGCAGGGGGATCACTGAAAGTTTGAGGCAGGTCATATGCTATCCATAGTAAGTTAAGAACTTGAGGGCACCGCAACATCTCTGTGATCTTAAAGATTTATTTTTATTTTGTAGAAAAAAAATTTATTTTAAAATATTTTGTTATCCTGTGTGTATGTATGTATGTATGTATGTATGTATGTATGTATGTATGTATAATCTGTGTGTGCAGGTGCATTTGTAGAGACCAGACAGCAACTCTGTAGAGTTGGCTTTCTGTGAGTTCTGGGGATTGAATTCAGGTCATCAGGCTTACATCTTTTAATGTTTTTATCCACTGAGTTATCTTTCCGGTCCCTTTTTTACCCAAACCCAGGTCTTCTGCAAGAGCAGCCTATTGTGTATGCGATGTTTTGCCTGTATGTACACCTGAATGCAAGAAGAGGGCACCATATTTCATTATAGATGGTTGTGAGCCACAATGTGGTTGCTGGGAATTGAACTTAGGACCTCTGGGAGAGCAAGCAGTGCTCCTAACCTCTGAGCCATCTCTCCAGCCCCCATCCCCGGGATTTTGAACGGACTTTCACAATCGCAGTGGCCTTCAGGAGATCTGGACCATCATAGGCTTATGCACCTCTTTGGCTTGCAAGTCAAAGATGGCAGGTCGGGGACTCAGCAGCCTTTCGGGAAAGAAGATGACGTGGGGTTTGGCTGCTGAGATAGGAAGCCCTGGCCTCAGCGAGGCCCTGGGGGCGGGGGGGGGGGGGGGGGGGGGCGGCCACCCCTCTGGGGGGGGGGGAGGGAGGCTGCCCTGAAGGGAATGGATAGCCCCGCTGCCAGTCTTCCCAATTGAGAGTGTAAGATGAGAAGAAGGTGGGCCTCACCCAGGAGGGGAGGACCCTCAGAAACTTCCTGCTGCTCTCGGCTCCACGGGAGACTGAGCGCAAGGCCAGCTTGGAGCGGGTGGCAGCCTGCCGGGGGTTGGGAGACCCTCCTCGGGGCTGGGCGGAGGCCCTTAAGCGCCTCGCCATATTGGACGGCCACACTTTGCAGCCTTTGTCTTTAGAGTCCTCCCACGAACTTTCAGAGGCATCCGGGGTGTCTGGGCCGAGGGAGAAGAGATCAGAGCCTGTGCGTCCCCAACGTGGACGTTGGCGGTTCCAGTTTGGCCCGGACTTCAAGCCTAGCGAGGCGCCTCAGTAAGCATCCTGGAGAACTGCTTGCCTCAACTCTGAGCTGGTGGTGGGGACCCAGCTCGGCCTTGTTGTTGCCTGCGGGGAGGGGGGGGGTAGGCAGGGAGGTTACACTCTGCCTGAGCAGAGTCGCTGGGATCCCCCACCGGCCCCTCCTCAAGCTTGAAGTCTAGTCTGTTTGGGCTTCTTGCCCCCTCAACCAAGAGTCCACGCTGGAGATCTTAAAGACCCTTGAGAAAAGCCACGTGGGAGGCTGGTTCCCATGGGGCTTCCTACCGTCTCCTGATTGCCTGATTCTCTGGAGTGTCCCGGACGTCTGCAAAGATGTGGATCTGGACGTGTTAGTGGAGGCCTTGAGGCCCGTGGGCACCTTTAAGAAGATCGGGAAGGTGTTCCGCAAAGAGGAGGACTCCACGGTAGGGATGCTGCAGATTGGGGAGGATGTTGACTACCTGCTTATCCCCCGGGAGGTCCGGCTGGCTGGGGGCGTGTGGAGAGTCATCTCCAAGCCTGCCACCAAGGAGGCTGAGTTTCGGGAGCGGCTGCTCCAGTTTCTGCAGGAGGAGGGTCGCACCCTGGAAGATGTGACCCGCATCATCGAAAAGAACACTCCACACCCACCCCAGCCCCCCAAAAAATCCAAGGAGCGCCGAGTGAGGAGAGTCCCGCAGATGGTCACTCCCCCCCCTCGGCTGGTCATAGGCACCTACGACAGCAGCAATGCTAGCGACAGCGAGTTGAGTGACTTTGAGACCTCCAAAGTCAAAGGCAGCAGGGGCCCCCAGAGGACCAGGAAGGTGCGCAAAATGCCTGTCAGTTACTTGGGCAGCAAATTCCTGGGCAGCGACGTGGACAGTGAGGATGATGAGGAGCTGGTGGAGGCCTTCCTTCGCCGTGGAGAGAAGAAGCCCAGTGCGCCTCCTCCACGTCGTCGAATCAATCTTTCAGTGCCCATGTTTGAGAACCTGGGGCCCCAGCCGTCCAAGGCGGACAGATGGAGGGAGTATGTCAGCCAGGTGTCCTGGGGGAAGCTGAAACAGACGGTGAAGGGCTGGGCGCCCAGATCAGGTGAGGCCCAGCAAGCCTCCTCAATGCCTGAGAGGGCTCGAGACTTGAGACTCAGTCGCAGCACCAGCCAGGACCAACACAGCTCCAGAAGCACAGGAGACGGGATCAACCAGACCCTGGGTACCAGTCGCTGGACGCCCAAGATCAAGTGGGTCTCCTTGAGGCGGTTCAGGAAGGAGCAGGCACCATCCCAAGCTCAGGGGACGGGCATGCCAGCTGAGGGTCCCCCAGAGGCCGCAGAGAACCAGGGGCCAGAGGTTCCAGCTGAACATGGCACAGAGGCTGCAGCTAATCCAAGGGGAGAGGCTGCAGCTAACCAGAGGGCAGAGGCTGCAGCTAATCCAAGGGGAGAGGCTGCAGCTAATCCGAGGGGAGAGGCTGCAGCTAATCCGAGGGGAGAGGCTGCAGCTAATCAGAGGGCAGAAGTCCTACCTGACCAGAGGGCAGAAGCCATAGAGGCTTCTGAGGGCCCAGCTAACCGAGAGGCTGGAGCTGGAGACAATCAGAGGGTGGAGGCCCCAGCTGACCAGAGGGTAGGAGTCCTCCATGACCAGAGGGAGGAGGCCGGACCTCAGGCTACGCCAGAAGCCTCAGCTGGTTCTGGATCTAGGGTCCGGAAACAGGTAAAGACAGTGAGGTTCCAGACCCCAGGACACTTCTCATGGTTTTGTAAGCGCAGGAGAGCCTTCTGGCATAGTCCGCGGTTGCCAACGTTGCCCAAGAGAGTCCCCAAGACAGGTGAGGCTAGGAGCCTCAGGGTGCTGAGGCCTGAAGCTAGAGCAGAAATGCAAGAGAGAGAGCAAGAAGAAGAGCTGTGAGGGGAAGACCAGGGCCCTGCTCCCTGCCTGTCCTATGTTAGCTGCTGGGATGCCTCCCTCCCTTGCAGGCTCCTTCTACCTCCATGTTTGAAAATGGAGGCTGCAGAGGCAGGGAGCACCCCACCCCCACACCTTTCCTGCCCTTTCCTCCCCTTTCTTTTCTTTTTCCTTCCATTCTTTCTTCCTCTTCCCCTTTGGTTTTTTGTTTTGTTTTGTTTTGTTTTTTGAGACAGTTTTTCTATGGAGTCTTGGTGGTCTCACACTCACAGTAGTCCTCTATCTTAGTGTCCTGAGCTCTAGGTGTCTGCCACTACATCTGGCTCTAGGAGGCAGGGTCTCTATGTAGCCCTGGCTAGCCTAGAACTCAACATGGACACCAGGATGGCCTTGAACTCACAGAGATCTGGATGCCTGCCCCTGCTTGGAGTAAAGACATGTGACACCATGCCCACCTTCTAGAGGCCTTCTTTATCATCTTGTTTTTATCTGATGAGATCATATGTTCAAGGTTGCATGGCTGTAAATACACTTAATTTTTATAAGTGATTTAATTTTATATAAGTGATTATAAATTTTTATAAGTTGATTTAAAAAAAATACTGAATACATCTCAAAGGATGTAAAGAAGCCAGCCCATGGAGCTGTGCCTGGGATGTATTTTAACTTCTTACTATGTATCTTAAATGCTCACAGCCTGGCAAAGGGAAATGGGCAGAGGAGGGGGATCATTCTGTCCTTTGTCTTCTTTTCTGTGACTAACTTTGATTGACAGCACCTAAAGAGAGGGCTCAAATTGATATGCAAATAAAAATGTGTTCAAGGTGGTTTCTTGTTTTCTAGGTGGCAATGAACAGAGTCGGGGTAATTTGGCTGGCTCCTTAATGGTGATGATCCTGTGTTTAAACTGTCACTTTGCCTGCCATGTTTGAGCTTCTAAGCACTGCAGGATTGGAGGGTGCAGGGCCTGTGGGCTTCGCATACCACACTGACCTTGGTGAAGGGATACAGGAAAACAAGGCGTGGGGTGCAGGAGGGATGGCTCAGAGGGTAAGAGCACCGGCCGCTCTTGCAGAGGAGCTGGGTTCAATCCCCAGCAGCCACATCGTATCTCACCATGCAGAACTCCAGAGGATCTGACGCTCCTGCCTGGTAACTTTGGTCACCAGGCACAAACATGATGCACAGAACACAGGCAGCCTAAACAGCCAGATGCATAAGTACTAATTGAAGGTGATTTTTAAAAAGCCAGCAGGGAATTGCACTCCTCTGGGACCTCTGATGTCCTTGATGTGGCTGTGTCTGGGATGGGTGTGTGGCACCCTTGAATGTGAAGAAGGCTTTTGTTGTCTATTTTCTGAGACAGCGTCTCCTTATTTAACCTCAAATGTATGGCCCTTCTGCTTTCTGAATGCTGGGATTGCAAGTGTGTGCCACCCTGCTCAGCCTCCGGAGGTCTCCCCCCTTCCTGTGTGTGTGTGTGTGTGTGTGTGTGTGTAAGTCAGAAGACAACTTGCTGGAATCAGTTCTCTCCTGCCATGTGGATTCTGGGGATCAAGCGCAGGTCATCAGGCTTGGCAGCAACTGCATTTACAAACTGTTGGACCGTCTCACCACTCCCTCCAAGCTGTTTTGACCAAGCTCACAGACATCGCCACTGGATGCATAAAAAGCAGTTGGAACAGCAGTGTGCTCGAGGGGGGAAGTAGTGCTTCTTATAACTGGGCCGCTAAGGGCCCGCCAGGGTGGGAGGAAGGTGGAAGCGTCTCTCTGTGATGCTGGCAGCGCTCCAGCCACTAGCAGTGAAGAAGGATGAATGCGTACATACAGCCTCTGTAAGTGTCAGCAGGAGAAAAGAACATTTGGTGGAAAAGAGCAGTCCAGCCCTCATGTGACTGAGAATTATGCCCCAGCAGCCCTGACCCTCTTTCTATTTCTTCCCCGATAGTATCTGGGGAGAAAACACAGGCTCTCCCTTGTAGACAGGGTCTCTACTCTGAGCCATGCCCTAGCCCCTCACCGGGGGATTCTAGGTAGGTGTTCTATGATACACCCTTGTAAGCCACTTTTTCCTTCCCTGCTGTGTTCTGAAAGTAAGTGGTTATATAACATACCACATGTTTCTCCCTGTGGCCTTGGTAGAGGCCCTTTTGCTGTTGTTCATGGACAACAAGGCTTGTTCCCTCACAGCTCACAGCCTATCCAGAAGAAAGTCCCACTGATACGTTAACTAAAAGACAAAATATGAACCCCACCTGGAGGAGTGGGCTTGGTGGGGTCTGGAGGCTAGGGGGAGAGGTCAGGGGTGGTCCTTGCTGTTGTCCACAGCCACTTGAAGATAAAAAGAAAAGCATTAATAAATAGACGGTGCGACCTAGTGATTGTTCAGCCTCCCTCACAGGGCCTGGAGCTCAATGGGCTTCAGGGACAATATTGGAATCCGGGGGAGGACTTCACGACAGAGGAAGACAGATTAGACACAGGACTGTGTGCTTCACCCATGTCAGTTGCACTCTGTGACACCGGATCACAGCTCACTGGCTTGCACGACATACGTGCACATGTCTAAGCCACCAGACACGGGTCCAGGGACAAATGGTAGGCTCCCATACACACGCACTGGTAGCCCACCAGAAATGTCCATAAGTTTATGGACACACATATTCAGTATTCGCTCACGCTCCAGCTCAGACCTGCACATGCCAGGAAACCCTCTGTTCCCCGCCACACCCACCCTGCCATCGTTAGTGTCGAGAGCCACGCTGCCAGATGCAGTGTACACATAACGCAGTGTAGACATACGCAGCGCCACAGAAACCCAGAGGACAGCTGCAGCCTGGGATAACACTACAGAATAAAAAACAAAACCCCTCAAAATACAAGACGAGAATAAAAAAACAAAACAAGAAAAACCAAGTGCAGGCATGCTGTGCACTCTGGGAGTAAGAGGCAGGTAGACCTTTGTGAGTTCAAGGGCAGCCTGGTCTACAAAGCGAGCCCGGGCTGAGAAACCTTGTCTCCAAAATAAAAAACAAAATCAAAACCAAACTCTCTTCCTGGGAGTTGTTTTCACAGCCTTTTTAAAAAGCCTTGAATCATGATCAAAACAAACCTGGATTGTGCTGACCTTCAGCTTGTCCCTCCCCTGAGAGGACATGACGTCCTCTTCCCTCCCTCATCTAGCAGGAAGATCCAGAGACCAGATGTGAGAGAAGAGGAACCCTCGCACTGCCCTAGGCCAAGAAGAAAGGTGATGTTATATCTTCCAATTACCAACTCAAGGCTTTTGTTTTTGTTTTTGAGATTTATTTATTTATACAGCTCTGCCTGAACATGTGTCTGCACACCAGCAGAGGGCACCAGATCTCATTATAGATGACTGTGAGCCGCCATGCGGGAAGAGCAGCCAGTGCTCTTAACCTCTGAGCCATCTCTCCAGCCCAGTTTTGTTTTAAAGACAGGCCCTCATGTGGCCCTGGCTCCCTGTGTTGCATGGGATGACCTTGAACTCTGGGTCCTCCAGTACTGGCCTCTCATGTGTTGAGATGGCAGGTGTACCACCAAACCCTGGGTTATGTGGTTCTGGGGATCAAAGCCAGGGCTTCAAGCATGCGAGGCAAGCACTCTACCTCGGCCCCCCTACAAGGGGCTTCTGCTAGGCTGGGTCCCGAAATCAGCCTGGCATGTAGAGAGGCCTGGCATGGCTTTGGTGCTGTTACATGCTGAGCATGCCCAGGGCATGGTCAGTCACCTGCGTAGTTTGGCCTAGTGGGACTGAAGAACATCCTGATGGTCACAGTGGGAACTGCAGCTTAGACAGGCTGGCTTGGGCGTAGACTGAGGGCTCACCTCTGTCCCCACTCCCCCATTCTAGGCAGTCCTAGAACATGGCCACACTCCTGGGCACGTGGAGGGACAGAAACAGGTTCCTCACACTCAGCATCTCAGCCTCCTGTGACCAAGAGTCATGACCGAGTTGGGGCGACTCACCTCACCAGGCTGAGGTGAGGACTGAGGAGACTAGACTAGAGGCTCACTACGGGAGTGCTGTGCGGCACCACGGAGCACCTAAGTCCAGTTCCCGGCAGCCACACATAGAGGCCACACCCACCTCTAACTCCAGCTCCAGGGGACCCCACCTGCTTTACACACTGGCCTTCGCAGGCACCTGACACCTGTTACACCCCCCGCACCCCCCAGTTTTACAACAACCAAAAAAACCCACAAAACAATGGGGGGGGTGCATGTGGTCCTGGCCAAGTGCTTGATGGGGGATACCTTTGACTCAAAAGGCATAGCCTGATATGGTGACAAATGCATGAAATATTAGCTTCTACGAGAAAGAAGCAGGAGGATTAGACTTCAAGGAAGACTGTATAGTGAGTTTGAGGCCAGCCTAGGCTACAAAATGAATGAATGAATGAATGAATGAATGAATGAATGAATGAATGAATGAATTAATACATAAACGGCAGGATATCCTGCACTAAGAGCACATTAATATTGCTGATTTTTGAACATTATCCTAAGATTGATCACACATCTAATTGCATTTCCCTGTGGTCCTGACCTCCCTGCCTTTTAAAGGATAAAGTTATTGACTCCAAAGTGGAACCCAGGGCCTTGTGCGTGCTAGGCAGGGACTCTACCACTGAGCCACACCCCAGCCCCTCACTGGGGATTGTAGGCAGGCCTCTACCACTGAGCCACACCCCAGCCCCTCACTGGGGGACTGTAGGCAGGGCTCTACCACTGAGCCACACCCCCAGCCCTTTACTGGGGGATTCTAGGCAGGGCTCTACCACTGAGCCACACCCCAGCCCCTCACTGAGCCACACCCCCAGCCCCTCACTGGGGGATTCTAGGCAGGGCTCTACCACTGAGCCACACCCCCAGCCCTTTACTGGGGGATTCTAGGCAGGGGTTCCACCACTAAGCCACACCCCAGCCCCTCACTGGGGGACTGTAGGCAGGGGCTCTACCACTGAGCCACACCCCAGCCCCTCACTGGGGGATTCTAGGCAGGGGCTCTACCACTGAGCCACACCCCAGCCCCTCACTGGGGGATTCTAGGCAGGGCCTCTACCACTGAGCCACACCCCAGTCTATCACTGGGGCATTCTAGGCAGGGGCTTCATTTCAGAGGTATAGCTCCAAGCTCTTCAGTTTTAATCTGAACCAGTTCAGCTTCAATTCACTGTCAGAAAAATGAAAAATCTCAGGCTCCCAGGCCTAGGCTAAGGAAGGAAGAAAGCTGACAAGAGACGGAGAGATGGAGAAATAGGGGTCAGGAGGTAGTGGTGGCAGGTCTTTGAAGAAGCTTCTTGACCTCACTCCTGCCATCTGGCCCCACCCCCATTCTCTTTCTGAGGTCTGTACACACCTGAAATCAGTTTCCTAGCCATCCTCAAGAGAAACAGAGAAGCCAGGAGTGGTGGCACACACCTGTAATCCCATCACTCAGGGAGGCAGAGGCAGGCAGATCTCTGTGAGTTTGAGGCCAGTCTGGTCTACAAAGCGATCCACGACAGTCAAGGCTACACAGAGAAACCCTGTCTCAACTCCCCCCTCCCAGTAAAAAGAAAAGGAAAAGATGGCGATGCTGTGGAGTCCCTTGGAGTGGCACCCAGCACTCTCCTGTCCTTTGCCGCCCCGGCCTAGAGAAGATTAACCAGCACCTTTTTCTTCTTACCACATTGCTCTTGACCATGACTGCCAGGGGAAGAGGGTTTCACAACTTCAAGGCAGGATGTGTCCCTACTCACCTGACTGCTTTCTGCTGCTCAGCCCCCACAACCACATTTTCTCTGGTAACGTTTGGGGCCAGCAAG